CAGCAAGGGCTGCGGGTAGATCCAGTGCCTTCTATGCGAATGCTCCACTGCTTTCCTCTGGACACCACCCCTCCCCCACCCACCTGCCCAAGGTCTGCACTGCTTGCTCTGACCCGTGGGGGGCTGCAGGGGTCACAGCCTCCTGCCCCTGGTGGAAGTCCACCCGCGGGCTCCCCTTGCTGTGGGAGCTGGAGTCGGGGAACTCGGGGAGCAGGGGGCAACCATGCTACCGAGGGCTGGGAGCCCCAGGGTTCTCTCCGAAGAAGCCAGGTAAGGAGTGTGTGAATAGAGGTCAAAGCGTGTTCTATGTGTCCTGAGAGCCAGGTGAGGGGAGACCGCTGGGTTGGTGCAAGGAGGCCCTGTGCTGGGCAGTGGTCCCCAGGGGCTGGGTTTTGAGTGTCCTTTCTCCCCTTTCCCCTTTTCACCTGCCCAGGTGGACGTGGTCTCATCATCCATCCTAAGGTGCCCGAATGGGCAGGGCCACTTCCTCCTCACTCTCCAGGCAGCGATGCCATGGGAGACCCTGGGGTCACCCAGGGAGAGGGGGGGGTCAGCACCGAGGTGGGCTGCCTATAGGCCAAGCCCTCTTTCCCCTGCACAGAAGCCCGTCTTCCAGAGAACCCCTGGAGGGGATTCCTCACAGAGTGGGGTGTTCTCTGCCATTGGTCCCTGCTGTCCCCCTCCCTTGCATTTGGAAGTGGGAAGGTGCGGGGCTAACTGGTGGCATTTGGGAAGGCAGGGGAAATTATCTGGTACCCACGCGCCCTCCCTCTGGGATCAGAGCCCTGGCCGCTGGAGGCCAGCGTGGTGAAGGATAGATGAGAACGAGGGAGAAAAGGGCAGCTTGAAAGCCCCATCCCCCATCCCCACCCCCACCCCTGCAAGTCCTCCCCGCCTCTGGGCTCCCTTTACCCCTGAAATTGTGGATTGGACACCAGGTCTGGGTGGTCTGTTCAACCCTGTTGCATGCAGCTCAGTGTCAGAGGGCTCCACCCTAATTCCCAGCCCCAGCCTGAGGCCTCCTTCCCTGAAGCTGACAGCTAGGATGTCCGGGCTATTCAAGGGCTATTTGTGGCGTGGCCTCTGTGTGCTCCCTGCCCCTCCCACACCCGACCTGCGCCTGGCTTGGGCCCAGCACCTGCCCACCCAGTCCGCCAGCGGCATCGCCCTGCGTCCTGCCGCTTGGGCTCTCTCTCCCTGAAACTGGCCATGCCAGGGAGAAGGAGCTCCCCTCCCCACTGGGGACACCATCTGGGGTGCCTCCGCTCGGCCTCAGCCTGCCGGGTCTGGGGGCCCCGGTCCTGCCCAGCCTGGGAGGCCCCTCAGCGCTCGCCGCTGCTGTGCCAGGACATGGCGCTGCAGAACGCCCTGTACACTGGAGACCTGGCGCGGCTGCAGGAGCTGTTCCCCCCGCACAGCACAGCCGACTTGCTGCTGGAGAGCCGGGCTGCCGAGCCTCGCTGGAGCAGCCACCAGAGGGGTGAGGGGCGGCCGGGGGACACGGGGCTGAGGGCGGGGGGGGCCTGGGCGGACCGCACCAGGCGCAGAGGTACCAGGTGCTTGAGGACGAAGAGTGCTCCCTGGCTGTTTCTCTCCCACCCTGAGGCTTGCCTAAACCTTGGCTGGGGAGAGAAGTCATGCGGAGCCCAGAATAGCTCCTGCTGAGCCCAGGGGCCAGGTCAGGCGCGGCTCGGGCACACGGAGACACTCTCCTTGCATCTGTTCCTGTCCCCTCCTCCTCTCTTCGTCTCTGCCTTTGGCCCCTACCCCTCCTCCCCGAGCCCCCAGCCCCCATCCCCCACGCTCCCACACTGCCCTCATGAGCTGGTCCCCAGAAGAGTGCAGGGAGCAGGGCGAGCCCCCTGGTGACCGACATGCCCTCTGTGCCAGGCTGGTGGAGAAGCCCAGTGGAGGGTCCGCCGAGCGCCCGGAGGCATGCCCGAGACCCATCGTCACGCGCACGGCCTCGGGACCCGCCTTGGCCTTCTGGCAGGCAGTGCTGGCCGGGGATGTGGGCTCTGTCTCCTGCATCCTCGCCGACTCCAGCACTGGCCTGGCTGCGGATTCCGTCTTTGATACCAGCGACCCAGAGCGATGGAGGGATTTCCGCTTCAACATCCGTGCTCTGAGTACGGGCCAGGGACACTGGGGGGTCTGAGCGGGAGAGGGAAGCCTGGGGAAGGAGCTCTGGGCTCCCTCTTCCCGGCCTCTGCCCACCTCCCCCGTTGCCTGGCAGCTCCTTGCCTCCCTCCAGAGTCTGAGGCCCAGGTCCCGTCTCTCCCTAGGACTCTGGTCGCTGACGTACCAAGAGGAGCTGACCACCCCACTGCACGTGGCGGCCAGCCGGGGCCACACGGAGATCCTGCGGCTGCTGCTGAGGCGGAGGGCAAGGCCAGACAGTGCCCCTGGGGGCTGCACCGCCCTACGCAGGCCACGCTGCCTGCGTGCACGTGCTGCTGGTGGCAGGAGCCGACCCCAACATCCCTGACCAGGATGGGAAGCGCCCCTTGCACCTCTGCGGGGCGGCCGGGAGCCTCGAGTGAGTGACCCCTCGCCTCAACCCCCATTCCACTCGTAGACGAGCGCAGGGAGGATGAGGGAGCGTGTCGAGGGCTGGCAGGCCTGGTGAGCTGGGGCTCAGGTGGGAGTCAGGATGCGATTTCCCCCCAAGCCGTCCTACCACTGGCCTGGTGGGCTTTGGAATGGCCTGTCCTTGCACCAGCTTCTGCCTGCCCAGGGCCGGAGGAGGGCTGTAGCAGGGCCCAGCTGCGTGGCCGGCGCGGGGGATGTTGGGGCTCCTTTATGCGGAAGTGGTGTAAAGTTTTCATTTTTCTGAGCTTATGTCCCAGGCACCGTGCAAAGTACAGCAGTAAATAAGGCACGATTCTGCCCTCAGGGAACTGACTGTCCAGTGATCCAGATAGGCTGTCGAGGATAGCAGGCCCCCAGTTAGGGCCTGTGGTGGTCCTTGAGGGCAGGGTCTGGTTCTCAGCTTGGCAGGTCTGGCGTTTCCATATTGGCAGGCACCCTCAGATAAATGGGCTCGGGGACTGAGCCCAGCTAACCAGACTCACAAGAAACCAATGGCTATACCCAAATGTGATCATGTATTATTTACTGTAAAGGACATTCCTTTACAGTGACCCAAATAATTGTGCCCTATGTGTAGGGGACCTTGGAGAATGAGTCCTCATAATTTTTTGATGAATCTGGAAGCCCAGCAAAGGGAGCCTTGGCAAATCTATGAACTAACTGTATGTACGACAGAGGCCTTCTCTCTACTGACTACACACCTGCCAATTTCACATCTTGCCTGAATGGCACCACAGTTTTGATCCTTGGGTCCCGCTTTCGTGGACCTTCCTCCTCCTGTTAACCTCATCGGCCCTCAGAGGATTCTACCAACTTCCTCGTGTTACGGCTGGAGATGTGCTCTACATCAGCGTGGTCCAATTCAAATACACCATGAGCCACGTATGTAATTTAAAATTTTCTAGTAGCCCTACCAAGGCATGAAAAAGAAACAGGTGAAATTCATTTTTAAATCGTGGCACATTACACGTCACATAAAATTTACCATCTTAACCATTACTCAGTGCAGTTCAGTGGCACTAAGTACGTTCGCATTGTTGTGCGACCATCACCACCATCCAAAGCCTGAAGCTTTTTAATCTCGCCAAACTGAAATTCTGTATCCTTTGAACAATAACTCCCCTTCCCCCTCCCCCCCAGCCCCTAGCAACTACCATCTACTTTCTGACCCTATGAATTGGACTGCTTTCAGCACCTCTTATGAGTGGAACCATACAGTATTTGTCCTATTGTGACTGGCTTATTCCGTTTAGCATAATGTCCTCAGGTTCATCCAGGCTGTAGCACGTAACAGAATTTCCTTCCCTTTTAAAGGCTGAATAATATTCCATGGTATAGATCACGTTTTATTTATCCATTCCTCTATTGATGGACATTTAGAGTGCTCCCATGTTTCGGCTATCGTGAATAATGCTGCTATGAACATGGGTGTATAAATATCTGTGAATCAAGTGAAATGAATTTTAATAATATATTTTATTTAGCACAATGTATCCAAAATGTCATCATTGGGCTTCCCTGGTGGCGAAGTGGTTAGAGTCCGCCTGCCGATGCAGGGGACGTGGGTTCGTGCCCTGGTCTGGGAAGATCCCACATGCCGCAGAGCGGCTGGGCCCGTGGGCCATGGCCGCTGAGCCTGCGCGTCCAGAGCCTGTGCTCCGCAACGGGAGAGGCCACAGCAGTGAGAGGCCTGCATACCGCAAAAAAAAAAAAAAAAAAGTCATCATTTCAACATGGAACCAATATACAAAGAACACATGAGACACTTTACATTCTCCTTTTGTACCAGGTCTTCAAAATTGGTGTGTATTTTGCACTCACAGCAGGTCTCCATCAGGACTAGCCATCCTGCAAGGGCTCGGTGGCCACACGTAGCTGGTGGCCACTGAATTGGACGATGCTGTTCTGTGCAATCCCACGTTCTTTGTTCTGGCCGTGTTTCAGCCCAGGTTCCCTGAGATCACACTTTGTGACAATCATTCCTTTCTTTTTTGAATAAGCAAGTGTATTTTTAAAATTATTTTGGAGAATTTCAAACATGTAGAAAGGTGGACAGGATAATATAATGAGCGCCCATGATCCACCACCATCTATGCCACCCACTGTCCCCACCCAACGAGGCCATTATGAACTCTTATGCCGACAGCTTTTCTGGCATTGTCTTATACGCCACTCACAGCAACCTCTTCAGACTAGGTATCAGCAATTATCCCCATTCTATAGATGAGGAAATTGTCACTCGAAGAAGCTAAGTTCCCTTAGCCTTGAATTTCAGGGCACACATCTTGGCAGGCGTACACAATCTTCTGAGAGGACCATCCTGGAGCAAATCTGGCGGCCGATTTTAGTTTTGGTCTTTTTCTCCCACTGCCCCAGGTTCCATTTGTGCTCATTTCTGGGTCCCCTTTTCCCCTCCTCCTCCCGTCCCAGCATGCAGAGCCCTGGCTTGAGAGAGGGCACTAAAGATGCTGCAGGATGTTGCTGGATGCCCAGTGCCAGGCAGGATGGAAGGAGCAGACAGCACCAGGAGCCACCCACGGGTCCTCCCAGGTTTGCTTTGCTCAGACAGGCAGGAACACAGGGGTGACGGTCTGCACCCCGTTTTCCTCCCCTCGGCCGTCTCGCCCTTACTAGGTGTGCAGAGCTGCTCCTGAGGTTTGGAGCAAAAGTGGACGGTCAGTCCGAAGAACAGGAGGAGACCCCTTTGCATGTGGCCGCCCGGCTGGGCCACGTGGAGCTGGCAGACCTACTTCTAAGACGGGGAGCATGTTCCAATGCCCGCGATGGTGAAGGCTGGACCCCGCTGCTGGCCGCCTGCGACGCCCGCTGCACGTCCCCCGCTGATGCCGAGGCCACCACCACTCACTGCCTCCAGCTGTGCCGCTTGCTGCTCTCGGCCGGGGCCGACGCCGATGCTGCTGATCAGGACAGGCGGCGGCCCCTGCACCTGGCCTGTCGCCGAGGCCATGCGGACGTCGTGGAGCTGCTCCTGTCCCGCGGCGTCAGCGCCAACGCCATGGACTATGGGGGACACACGGCCCTGCACTACGCGCTGCAAGGCCCGGCTGCAGCCCTGGCCCAGGGCCCCGAGCGCACGGTGCGGGCGCTGCTCAACCACGGTGCCGTCCGCGTGTGGCCTGGGGCTCTCCCCAAGGTACGGGGCTAGGGCCCGAGGGAGGGCCACGAGAGCGAGGGCATGGGGAGACCCAGACCTGTGCTCGAGCTTGCTCTGGTTGCAGCTCCAAACTTGGGCACATAGGTCAGTACTTTGTCTTTCTTTCGTCAAGTAAGCAAAGCCCAACACAACAGCGCACCGGCAGGAGGGGTGTGTGCGTGTGTGCGTGCACACATGTATATACACTGTGTGTGCGTGCATATAACGTGTTTGTACGTGCATATGTGTTTGCATGTATGTGTGATGAAGCAGACTGAAGGCACTGGGGCCAGATTATAAAGGAGCTGAAAAGACAGAAGGAGCCAGGACTGATGCGGGTGGCAGGGAGTCCTTTCTTCATCAGGGGAGAGAGCTGATGAAAGAAGCATTTAGGAGGCTCCCCCTGGCAGTGGGACCCTGAACATGAGACACTCCAGGCACAGGAGTCACTCGCCCAGGGCAGAGTGATAAACCTGGGTCATGAGGTTCAAGGCCTCCTGACCATCTGCAGATGGACATGGTCCTCGTTTCCAACAGCTTAGCAGAACATACACCACCGAGACCAGCAGCTGCTATCCTGGCACCAAAGAAAAACACCTTTCACTGTCAATTTCCAATCTCTGTCTTATTTTACATTAATATCCCCCGAGGTGGGTTCAGCTTGCAGACCTGTGCTACCGAGGCACTGGCAGGGGACCCTATTTATGCTGCGCCGTGTCTGGAGGGGCCATATAATATCACGGAGGATGCTGGACCTGGGGTGGGGACCCTCGTTCTCCAAGGAGCTGGGTCAGGATGGGTATAGGGCAGCAGGCGCAGGTTCCCCGCCCCGTCCCCGGGCTTGAACCATCCAGCCCCACAGGGTCCTGGACTCTCCCCTGCTGTCCCTGCCTCTCTCCTCCACTCATAAACCTAGAAGCATCTGTCTGGATTCCTAAGCAAGACCAAATAGTTAAACAGCCTGGGAGTTCGGCAGATTGGTCTCCCCTTTGGGAGAATACAAGAAAATCAACAATTAACACTAATTAATCTCCTATTAACACCAGATAATTAGGAGACGAGCAATTCCCTGTAATCTGACAGTGGTTCTGACAGCTAATGATTTTCCCCTTTGGGGAAGGGGTGGGAGAAGGAGGCAGAGCAGCAAACGGATTTCCTGGGACCCCACTGCCTGTCCCTCCAGCCCTGTTCTGTCCACACTGCCTTGGGGACAGGCTGGCACAGCAAAGTGCCCCATTCATCCCTTCACCTGGCCTCCACGACATCCCAAGCGATCAGAAAGTCGGCATTCATCTCCCACAACATGCAGCTGCTCCAGGCTTGGCTGAGGTGCCTGTCCTCCAGTGAGGAACCCCTCCCTACAAGGAGGCCTCTATGGCCACACCTTCAGGCTTGCATTGCTGGAACTACAACTTGGGCAAGTTACTTAAGTTCTCTGTGCCTCAGCTTCCCATGTCTGTAAAATGGGGATAACCTTGTAGGAACGAGGATTAAGAGTCAACACACGTGAAGTACTAAGAAAATATCTGGCATAAATTATGCACAATAGAAATGCTAGCTGTTGTGCTGGTTTCCTGTCGTGGCCATAACAAAGTACCACAAACTGGGTGGCTTAAAACAATAGAAGTGTATTCCCTTTCAGTTCTGGAGGCTGGAAATTTGTAATCCAAGTGTAGGTAGGGTTGGCTCCTTCCACAGGCTCTGAAGGAGAACCTGTCCCAGGCCTATCACCTAATTTCGGGTGGCTGCCCACAATCCTTGGCTTGCTTGTAGATGCAACACTCCAATCTCTGCCTGTGTCATCACATGACATTCTCCCTGTGTGTCTGTTTTCTCTCATAAAGACAGCAGTCATATTGGATTAGGACTCACCCCAATGACCTCTTTTTTAACTTGATTACATCTGCAAAGACCCTATTTCTAAGTAGGTCACATTTATAGGTACTGGGATTAGGATGTCAACATACCGTTTGGGGGACTCAGTTCAACACACAACAGCTGTTCCTTGGCTGGCTGGTCATCCTGCGTGGACCGACAGGGTACCAGCAGTGTGTGGTAACCCCTAGAGCACTGACGCAGCTCTGCCCCCTGCAGGTGCTGGAGCGTTGGTGCATGTCCCCGCGGACCATTGAGGTCTTGATGAACACCTACAGTATCATGCAGCTTCCTGAGGAGGCCGTGGGCCTGGTGCCTCCTGAAACTCTGCAGGTCAGATTCTAGGACCCTGAACACACACTCATTCAGCCTGCCCCAAGAGACTTCCACCGCCTAAAGGGATTCCCTGTGGGTCTCCCCACTCTGCCCCACAGAAGTTACTCGGAAAAAGAAAACTCACATTGCGAACACCCGAAACACTCCCTACTTCTAAGAGGCTCCTGGAGACACCCACTGGCCAGCAGCCTCCCCTCTCTAGCAGAAGTAGGTGCCACTTGTCCAAGACTCATTCTCAGACCCTCGTTCTGCCCCCAGAAGTACCACCATTTCTACTCCTCCCTCTTGGCCTTGGTGAGGCAGCCCAGATCGCTGCAGCATCTGAGCCGCTGTGCACTCCGTGCTCACCTGGCGGCCTGCCTGCCCCACGCCCTGCCCCGCCTGCCCCTGCCAGCCCGCCTGCTCCACTACCTACAGCTGGATTTCGAGGATGTGCTCTACTAGGTGAGCCCTGGGCTCTGTGGACAGTCCCAGCCATTGGGGGCTGGGGTGGGGGAGTGGGGGGAATGGGTCGGAGGCAAGAGAAGAGTTGGGGGCAGGGCCCTAGACAGAACCACCCAAATTCCCAGACCACCGGACGTCTCTGAATCCACATCTCTCCTTCCAGATGTCCACTGCCTTTTGAGAGAGCCTGAAAGCAGATGCCCCATGCCCTAGGGGATGCCAGCCCACGGCTCACAGCGCCTGGAACTCAGGACTGAGTTGAACAGATTCAGGCGGAGGTGGCCCCTCTCAACAGGAGGTCCAGCTCCGCAGGCAGATGTGGATGCTGTCATTCCCACCAGGAGAGGCAGATGGGCCATGTGGCCAGGTGACATCTGATGGAGAGAGGGCCGGGACTCATGGCAAATGATATATACTCCTCTTGGGGTCCCCTGAGGCCCCCTTCAGCTTGTCCAAACCCTGTATGCACATTAAAAATCTCCAGGCTTGTGTTACTTGGTGCTGTGTCTCCAACAGCCCTTCCTCTGAGCTGGCTGGCTCACAGGGAACTCGAGATGGGCAGATTTTGGGGGTCTTCCTGGATCTACCCCATGGTGCTAGCTGTATGGCATCCACTAGCTATTGAGGGACCCCAGGCAGACCTGCCCCTCTGGCCCATGCTGTGGGGGAAGAGCCACCAGGTGAGATAGTATCAGAAAAGGGCTGAAGGAGAGCCAGTCAAAGGACAGGGGCCAGAGGATGGGGGAGCAAAGAGGCTTGTGTAGGGCAGAGGCGCTGCGGAATGAGGCAGCGCAGACAGTGGGGCAGGATGGTAAAGGCAGCCTCGGGGATGGGCAGTGAGGTGAGGGTCGGGAAGACAACAGGAAGGTGGGTGCACAGGCCAGCGAGCACCGCAGGGTAACCACGGTTCAGGTGAGAGTGAAACACGCAGGTTTAGAAAAACAACAACTCTACCTACTGCCTGTCCTGTAGGTCAGGGAGCGCCAAAAGCACACCTGGTTCCTGCCTCTCTCGTAACTGCTCCTTCAATTAGGCACTGAGCTGAGAGGTAACACCCCTGGGTTCTAGTCCCAGCTCTGCCCTTAACTTGTGGAACAGAAGTCTCGTCCCTTCTCTGGGCCCAAGTTTCTGCATGTGTAAAACAAGAGACAAGGAGAGAGTCCCTTAGGGTCTTTGCAGTACCAGGATTGTAAGAACTTGTAGGCGCCCCGGCACCCAGGAGGCAGCCTGAAACCACTGGAGGGAGGGGGAGCTGCTCGGAGCCACGGAGCAGCCAATCCAGTGCACTGTGATCCGTGACGTCAAGGGTCGCCGGACGGATTTCCCAGGGCCCCAGAGTGCGCACGCGCCGGAGTTCACAACTTTCCCACCAGCCGTTGGGAGCGAGGCGGCAAATGGCGGGGTCCAGAGGGTGCGAGGCGGCGGGGGCGGGGCCTGGGCGAGACCGACCGCGCGGAGCTCGCGAGGGCATCGAGAGGGCCGCGGAGGTGAGTGGACCTTGATTCCCACCTGGCCTCACAGGCCTTGGGCTGACCGCCCCGTTTGGGCTTCCACGTGGGGGGCGCGGGGCGCGGAGCGCGCGACGAGGATGGGACCGCCCGACGGGAGGGGCTGCGCCTGGAGCCCAGGCCCACAAGCAGTGGGGGCCGACCGAGGCCTGGCCCCTCATTTGTAGACGCTCCAGGGCGGGCCAGTCTCCACAGGCCCACCTCACAGGGGAAGTGGGCGTAGTAGGCGAAGAGACAGGGGTGAGGAAGCGGCTTCTGGCCGGGCTTGTAGTCATGCGGGTTCCACTCACTGCTTGGGGCTTCCCCCGGGGAGCCCCGTCTTATCCCAGCTCGGGGTCCTGGGGAGAATGCCCCCCTGGCCATTCGTTTGTTTAGCAGAGGTTTGAGTGCCTCCTGTGGCCTGGGCGCCGGCGACACAAAGGCCTGGCTCTCTGGTCCCCACTAGAAAGTTCACTCTAGTGGGGACAGAGACACTAAGCAAACAGACGAGAAAGCATCAGAGTGATAAGCCCTTTGCAGAGGAATTCCCCGGTGATTGACCAAGAGTGACTGGGAGCTATTTGAGTTCAGGTGACGTGGAAGCCTCCTCTTTGAGTAGGTGACATTTAACCTGAGGCCTGAGTGACAAGGAGGAACCAGCCATGTGAGCGGAGTGGGGAAGAGAGGGGAGTGACATGAACAGATTTCTATTTTCAAAGATGGCTCTGGCTGCGGAGTGGCTTGGGGGAGGGGAGGGGAAGGGAGGGATGGCGGGGAGGGAGAATCAGAGACCAGTTAGGAGGCTACTGTAGCAGTCCGGGCAAAGATGGGAAAGCAGTAGGTGAGACTTGGGACTCTTTCTGGAGACTCATTGGGACTTGTTTTTTTGTTTTGTTTTTGTTTGTTGTTGTTTTTATTTTTGGCCACACCGCCCGAGAATGAGGGATCTTAGTTCCTGGACCAGGGATGGAACCCCCCACTGCCTGCAGTGGAAGTGCAGAGTCTTAACCACTGGACCACCAGGGAAGTCCCTCAGTGGGACTTGTTGATAGAGTAGATGTGGGGGGCTGAAGGAAAGCATAATGCAGGATGGCCCCCCTCCCCTTTTTCTTGGTGGAGCAAAACTGGATGGGTGGTCGTGCTAATTACTAAGGTGGGGAAGATGAGAAAAGGGCAGGTGGTGAGGGAATCAGAAGGTCTGTTTGGGAGATGTAAAGTTGGAGCTGCCTATTAGACATCTCAAAGAAGCTGTGTTACATGGTCATTTGGATCTATGAATTTGGCATTCAAGGATAAGGACAGGCCTGGGGATATAAATAGGGAGAAAATGCATGTGTTTGCATGTGAAAAATGTTTAAAGCTCTGTCCCAAGAGAATTCTGACTCTCAAGGGGATGACTTTCCTGAGAAAGTCCTGCTTATGCATTTTGATGGAAATTCTAGTTAATTCCCATCCACGTCATTCATTTTGCGCTTGCTGAGCCCCATGGTTTAGGCACTAGATATACAGCTATGAATGAGACCTGCTCCCACCCTCAGTGAATTTTCCATGTAGTCTGAGAAACAGGTGTGTGAGTAACGTGTTCAAATACAAGGGGGCAATGAAGTGAATGCAAAAGACATGTGGTAGCAGGAGCTGAGGGCCTGAGGGGGAAGACAAGGATAGGGGTGGGGGCCTGGGAAGACTTCACAGAAGGTGGGGTGCCTCTCCAAGAGTGATTAGAAGGGGGAAGGGTTTCTGACCATATCTGGAGAGCACTGGTTCCTTGCCAGATGCCTTTTTAAGGAGGGAGGGCATAAGAGGGAAAGGGCAATGTGGAGTGGTCAATATGAGAGGCTGCTGCCCAACTTCACCATTCTCCCCTTAGCAAGGCAGTGTTAGGAAGGTCCCTTCTGGGGTTACACATCCAGACACTCTTACAAGCCAGGGAGCTTCCTCCTCAGCCTCCTGGCTGCGGGTCCCCGCAGGCCCAGAACCTCTCCCCGGTAATTGCTTTCCGTAATGTGTTTGCTCCAAACCAATTTCACGCCTCCGTGAGGACTCCGCCCTGCGTTGGAGGCGCGGACCTCCCCACCGCCAACCTACCCGCGTGTATCACGTGCGCACGCACAATCGGCACACGTTTAACACGATACACACGGTTCAAGTACCTGGATACAACCAACATACGTGAACCTACGCGTGTGCATACTAGACTTTAAGACTCTCCTGTACAATCCTCCTGCCCAACCAGTGCACTCACAGTTAAGTCCCCTGCAGCGCCCAGCGCGCTCGCCCTTGGACCGCTCACCTGGTGGTGTTCCTTTGCCCTCGGCGCGTCTCCTAGACTAACGCCAGGGGGCGCTGCAGTACTCCGCACCTCTTTCGAGGTGACGCAGTTGCGCGCTGCTGCCACCAGAGGGTACCCGCGGACAGAGCCCGAAGTTCCCCACCGTAAGTGGACACTGTCCCGCCAATGAGTGAGGCGAAGGTATATTTGGATTTGACGTAAGAATACTTCGTTCTTTCTGGGTGCTGGTTTCCAGTCTGTGAAGGGGAGGCCAGATGATGGGGTGGACATAGGCGCAAGCAGAGAGGGTAGATTCAAAATACAATTCCTCTATAGGAGCATTTCCCCAACTGGTGGAGTAGTGAGATGGGACAAGTTAGCACGTGGGCAGTTAAAAGAAACACTTTTAGCCTCTTCCATTTTAGACAGTGAGGGGAGGTGCTTACCTACATGGGCCTGTTCAGGGTTTCAGTAGGAGAACCGCAGAGTTTCCTTCTCAGTAAAGAAAGGAGCCAGCTCTGTTCAGGTTTGATGGTCACAGCTTCTGTCCTTGGTACTGATGGGAGAGTAAGAAGCAGTTGCTGGAGAGCCACTGACTCGGGGAACTTCCAGAATTGACCACCCTGCTGTTCTTTGTCAGTTTAGTGCAGGAAGGACTCATCTGGAAGGTTATTTCCTCATATTCACTTGATCCTTGCACTGGCTGTCTGACAAGGCAGAGTAGATATTAATTGCTGTCTTTCTCATGGATGGAGAAGTTAAGTCAAGAAGGGACCAAGGTCACATGGCCCAGAGAGGGGTTAGAATAGGAGCTTAACTTCAGGTCTTTTTACTCCAGCTAAGGCTTTTTTCCTTTTACCACACAGCCTCAGTTCCACGGTCCACGAAAGGGCAGGGACAGGAAATGGGCTGCTTCAGTTGCCACTCTGTATGTGAGGGTTTTATTCTAGTTTGGCTACTGAATGTGAAGGACTGTGCCGAAGTTACACTTCATGACCCCACCACGGCAAGGGGACAGATCAAGGACAAAAATGGATTACAAAGTACAGTATCTAACAAACACACACCACCAGGGCAATACAAAGTCCCCGAGGTCTCACGTGCCTCATTTCAGAGTTGGTGGCCCACTGAGATTTGTTGGCAACAAGCTTTTCAGCCTGTACTCTCTGTGCCAGCTTGCGCAGAGAATTCCACTTTACCGAGTATAGTTCTGGGCAATAAGCTCTTGGCTTGAGCTGGGTGACATACATCTTCAAGATCAGAGGGTCTTTAACCTTGATTCCTTGACAATGCATGATCCATTCTAGCCCACCAAAGAGTGGCAGGCCTATTAAAGCGGCCTTTTACTGGGGGGACTAGTGGGAGGGAGATGTTTCAATATATATCCTTTTGAGCTTTTGGAATTTTGTACTAGGTGATTTTATTCCCTATGCAAAAAGTGAAAGCAGTTGCTTTAAAAACGGCTCTTCCTTCAGCTTTATGTGATCTGTGATGTTACTGCTCATACAGCTTTAATTTCAGTGATTGTGACCCAAAGTTCCCTTGGTAACTTTTCAAGCCAATAAGCCTCTATTATGTACCCAACACTGTAAAGCCATCACACCAAGTACTGACCTCTCACTTTTTAAGTACAGTACACTTTTAAAAAAAATTATTTGTTTATTATTATTTTGGCTGTGTTGGGTCTTCGTTGCTGTGCGTGGGCTTTCTCTAGTTGCGGCGAGCGGGGGCTACTCTTGGTTGCGGTGCGCGAGCTTCTCACTGCGGTGGCTTCTCTTGTTGAGGAGCACGGGGTCTACGCACGCGGGCTTCAGTAGTTGTGGTGCGCGGGCTTAGTTGCTACGCGGCATGTGAGATCTTCTCGGACCAGGGCTGAAACCACATGGCTCGAACCCATGTCCCCTGCATTGGCAGGCGGATTCTTAACCACTGTGCCACCAGGAGAGTCCCTACAATGCACTTTTTTTTTTTTTTTTGTGGTATGCGGGCCTCTCCCTGTTGTGGCCTCTCCTCTCCCGTTGCGGAGCACAGGCTCCGGACTGCGCAGGTTCAGCGGCCACGGCTCACGGGCCCAGCCACTCCACGGCATGTGGGATCTTCCCAGACCGGGGCACGAACCCGTGTCCC